TTCTGAAAGAGTAGTTTCAAACAAACCTAAAATTTGCCTGTCATATATTTTCAGTTTTAGTCACATTATCAAAAAACAGTTTGCGCATAGTATAGTAAATAATTTATCATGGCAAAGCCCTTCAGAAATAATATATTAAAGCAAAGCCCTTAGCCGTAATTTATCACGGCAAGGCCCTATAGCCCTTAGAATGAATAACTTTTGTGAGTACTTATTTATTACAAGGCAAGGGATGCCTTTGAGGAGAAATTTTTAAGAGAAATTGGCTTTTATTACCATTGCACACAAGAAAATCTACGAGAAAATCCATGCAGCCAGCCTATTTAAAATACCAGACTATAGCTAAGTAATAAAAACATAGAATGCGAATGGTATCCATCAAAGAAGAATGATGCTTTGTCGGAAGGTTTTTCTTCAGAACAACTAGCCCATATACTATGCAAAAGACGTTAGCGCAGTCGTTCTCAACCTGTTTTGCTTTACGTAACATCTGATTTTGCCGTTGCTACATCATTCTCCCACTCCTTTACAAAAGTCGAAAAATATAGGTACATTTATTTAGCTTTATATTATTATTTAACATATTTTTATAAATGAATTACAAAAGTATAGAAAATGTTGATAAATTCCAAAACTTAAAGCAATTTATTTTTATATATTCATAAACTAAAACTAAATACTTAACAACAACTAAATAAAAGGCTGATCGTATTCCACCCTCCCTGAAACTATGAAATCCTCCAAGGGGGATATCCTTTCTGTTTGAGAACCTCTGGATTAGTGCATTCAGTCATATTGTCATTACACACTGCATCTCAGAGCGCTTTCTACAAAGCAGCTGGCCTATAGAAACTTCCTAAAAGATATTAGAGCATTCAGTCACATTAATGCCGCCGAGACGATTAGCCTACTGTATTCATACACTTCCAATTACAGAAGTGTTTTAAATAACGAAATACTCACTTTTTTGGCAATGTCGAATTAAAAAAAAAATTTTTTTTTGGATAAATAACGAAAGCTAATTTTTAATGCGGTTTTATATTTGAAAAATTTTTATACTTGTTATGATAAAATAAAATTATAAGAAGTTTGACTCCCGTATGACAACAATTGACCGAGATATTTAATTTCAAAAATTCGCAATTTTTGATGCCATTTTTAAGTTGCCCTGATGGATCGCTTAATTAAGTAACGATAATTTGAGGAATTAAGTTTAAATGAAGTGCAGCGAAAAATGTAGTATATAATTTAATAGGCTGTACAAGGAAGTTATGCGATGTCCACATATTTTATTTTTTATTAAAACCTTTTGCAAACTAAGCCACAGTAAAAGTAATTGCTGTACATAAGAATACAGTTTTATTTATGATTTCCGACAATCTGCAATTAAGACCACCTCAGTGATATCCATTACAGCCTAAAAATGTACGTATCTCAGATGCTCCAACAGCCTTTGACAAAACTTTTCCCAGCCTGACAATCAATTCAATCCAATGCTGTCGCACTGAAGATTTCCTCACCCTGAAGCATGTAAAATCTTGTTTTAACAATAGCTTAATTTCCCTCTGGATGGGAATAATTCTTAGCTCGAGAGGTAAAGGCCATCTACCAGCCAGAGGGCCGTGAAAAATCTGCCCGATGCACTGTTATGGGCAATTACCCAACCCGATAATAGGTGCTGGAGGAAAGCTACTCGCCTGAGTGGGCTGATCAGAGACAGTGCTTGCCAGACGGTTAAGCAGTGATGCGTGGTCTTTATTCATTATATTATTTGTTTAATCATTATCGATGGTCTGGGAAGTTTTCCGCGAGCAAATATGCAATCATGTTATCGAGTTTACAACACTGCGGTCAATGAAGGTATCGGGAAGGAATGCGATGAGGGTTTAATAGCAAGACACTCTTTTTCAGCGAGTTAGTTATTCTGAATTAATTTCATTAGAGTCAAAAATAAAGCAAGCAGAGAGTCATAATTAATTATTTCATTCATAATATTTTATCTCTTAGAAATTTATAGATAAAGTAAATTAAAAAAAAATGTATGGCTCTTAATTTTGAGTATAAGAAGCTACCTTGCAAAAGAGTACGAAAGGTTTGAAGGTAAAGATCGTGTAACGGTTGCTTCACAAGACTTATTCATTTATTGCTTTTAAAATATGTTTAAATATACGATAGGTTTCTATAGATAAAATTCTCCGAAAGATGAGTCAACAGTGCAATCCATCACATAAATGACGATAATCACATAAATGATTATCCATCATATAACACTAAATATTCATTTTATGCGAGAAAAAGCTTAAATGACGCCCTGCTGGCAAGACGGTAGTATACAAGACGGTTGCCATTGCGGCATAGGGGATCTTAAAATATGGTACAGCCCAAAATTCTCTCGAGAGGTTGAAGGAAAGGTAAAAGAAGTGAGAGACCATCAGATTCGTTCATCAGAGGTTTCTTTTTCAAAATTAGGAAGCAGCTTTACAAATTCCTGCAGTCACCCATGTGATTCCAACGACAGGCACAACTCCTGCCTCGTAAACACGATAAAATTCATTAATTTGATTTAACGTCACTGTTAAAGTGAAACAACAACAGTCAGAGCTCACGTTAATAGTAAAGGCATATTATTTGGTAAATAATTTTTACGCATGACCATTTGCTCTAATAGTTTCGTTGAAGGTATACATATTACCTATGTAGTACAGTTAAGTGTTTTTAAATTAAATTCACCATTTTGTTCTAACAAAAAAAAAGCACATCTATTTTTTAAACTTACAAAAACTACGACATTTCCATAGCGAAGATCTTTAAAACAACATCAAGCAAACTTCTACATTTCTCATTCCATATTTAGTTTGGTAACGTGGCAACGCAGAGACGTTACAGTAGTATTGCGTGGAGAAACAAGCGATTCTTTTCCTTAATTCCATCACATCATTTATCTATAACAATTGCAATTATAAATACAACATGCCCAATATTTCACGACATGAATTACCACGAAAATGATGAGTAAGTAAGCATAGTAATGGAATCCATTCTCTAAGATGCCGGGATAAATATTAGACTTTAGCGGTCTTTTATAATTGGCAGCTGCTGACCTACAACCAAAAGAAAATGAGTGGGTCTATAAAACAGCGATTAAATAAAATGATAATTCATTAGGGTGTCTAATAGAAATATGGCTGATTACAGAAGAAGGTAATTATTTTACGATATTTAAAATACACATTTGTTTTCTCATTTCTTACTCCGAATATAAAAGGTGGTCATAAAAACACTTCCCCGGTATATGAACCCCTAGCAGCCTATCTGCTCACCCAATAGAAATGAAATTTCAGATATTGTTATTTGAAGGTATGCGCTCGAGATTGTGATGATTTAAAACGATAAAGATCTCACGGTTACGGTTTCGGTAAAAAAATTCGCAAAGAACAGCATTGTAAAGGACCAATGACAACACAAGAGAGGACAGGAGGAATAAAAGAAAAATCTTTATCGGAATTACAAATTTTCAATGTCCCCATTTTCGCAGACGATAACGGCAAGTTGTTGACAACAATCACGAATGTAACATCCAAAGAGGAATCTGTACAACTTCACCTTTTACGGCATCTTTTAGTTCTAAAAAATCTCGCGGATTTGATGTATACACCTTAGATTTCAAAAAACCCTAGAACCAGAAAAGTGAGGTCGGAAAATCATGGTGGCCACAAAACTGCAAACTTACGGGAGATTACTCTCTCTTGAAATGTTGTAATTCCAATAACAATTTTTTCCCTCTCCTTTCTTGTGTTGCCATTGGTCCTTTACAACGCTCTTCGTGGCAAACGTATTTACGTTGGGAATAATTTCCCGGCCCAAAGCCATTTATGGTTTTTCCAATGAACTGACCAATTTGCCCAGAAAAAAAATAGTGCTGCCATTCGAAAATTTCAGAATGTTTTAACTGTAACCGTAATTTGATAGCTCTATTATTTTAAATTATCATAATCTATTGTTTTAAATTATCATAATTCTAATCTTCAAATAATAGTTTCAGAAATTTCGATTCGTTGAGCGGATAAGCCGCTAAGGGTTCATATATTGAGGAAGTGTTTTTTAACGAAAACCCTGTATGAATGAAACAATCTGATGTCGATACAACACCACTTCCTTGTACAGCCGATTAAATTATACACAATTTTTTTCTGCACTTCAGTTAAACTTATTTCCCCGAATCATCGTAACTTAATGAAGCGATCGCTAAAAGCAAGTTGAACACAACATCAAAAATTGCAAATTCTGAATTTAAATATCATCCTCAATTTTTGTCGTATAGGAGTCAAACTTTTTTTTTATAATTTTATTTTCTCATAACGAGTATAAAACTTACGCAAATAGAACTTAGAGATCGCATTAAAATTTTGTTATTTGGCCAAAATAATTTTTTTTTTTATATTTGACATTGCAAAAAATATAAATATTTTTGTCGATTAAAGTACTTCTGTAATTTCAAGTATATCAGTACGACCAAAGTTTGCGAAAAACAAAAGCTGGGTAAGGACGTTTAAGGCTTGTAAGGGGGTGGGTTATACAGGTAAGGGGTGCATATGTTTGGTATTGCCGATTTCAATAAAAAGGGGAAGTGCAGAACTAAATGTCATAGAAATACCATATAAAAATACAGCATTCTACAGCTAATCGTTTTTGAGTAATGCGAGTTACATACATCGTATGTACAGGCATCACGAAAATAATCCATCTTGAATCAGTTTTGCAAACCGTTTTGGAAAGAAGAGACCTTTTTTTCTGTCCGTACAATAAACCATCATCCAAATGGATACAGAACAGTCAAATTTCCGCTAAAATCTGATAACCGAAATTTTTCGCGATTACAAAATTTTGCTCTATTTCAATCAAATTTAAAATTCATTTTTAAAGATGTATATATTTGAATCTTTTATAGCTAGAAACTGTTTATAGCTGTTTTTAAACCTTATTCATATTAAAATTTACAGCAGAAGATGATGGAAAAAAAATTCTCTTTGGCAAGTTGGAAAGTAACAGAACTAATTTTTCGACTCCGCCTCCCGGTCCCAAATGAATTGGATTACCACATAGCACACCAGGACTATTCATCTAAATAGAAGGGATGCTTTCGTGGAGAATTTTCAAGAAAAACTGGCTCGCATTAATATTACACAAGTGGAAAGCACGGAAACTCTCCTGCAGCCAGCTGGTTAGTCGAGATTTAAATCACGGTTGCACTCCATATCAATGTTCACTGTCTTACTACTACTCAGCAATTGAATTTTTATTAAATAAACTGAATAAAATTGAGTTAACCTATTAACGTAACAGAAATACTTCATATCTTTAACCCAAAGGGCGTTAGCCTAGAATTTCTATTAATTTCGTTTTGGCATTTTGCGTTGGTTCATTATAAATGTCAATTCACTTTTCAAATTGTTGCCACCAAATATTAGAACCCTGTGCAATATTTAAAGAAATTAAATAATGAAGAATTTGCATTAATGTATACATGTTTCTCGCATTGTGATAAAACAACGGTACCTAGCGTCATCAAATTTTGAATAACGTAATCTTCCACTGAATATAGGCATCTGGAAGTTCAAGTTTGGAATTTGATATTTGTTTTTTTATCGATTTCATATTTTGTAACACTGTAATGAATTTTTGATTAACAAACTCAACGATTTTAAAGCGAGCAATCGCAACACTGTACGAAAAAAAACATTTTTATGTCCAGCGCGCGAGACTGTGTATCGGAAATTCTAAAGATATGCTCATTTAAAAATTGTTTTGTGATATTGCTGTTGAATTGAATTTTATGGTTTAAGTGCGAAGAGCATGATATTTGATAAATAAAGGCAGCACACAAAACAATAAAAAAACGCCCTTTTGGGCGTAATTAAAATATGAAATCTTTCAGATTTTGTTGAAGTTTTTTCTATACTTAAAAAAGAACTATATCTAATGCATATTTTATGAATTTTGCTCCAAAGGTTTTAGGAAAATCTATTTTACCAACTGCGTTCAGTAAGATTCACTTCTTGATATAGAATTTTGTTCAACAGTTAACACGGAAATTTATTATAAGTCGGACAGCCTGTACAGAAAAACACAAAATAAAACTGGTCATTATTAATATCTTCCATTTACTCTTGTAATGCGTATATGAAACTTTGAAATTTGTTTTATTATCGATGCAGAATACTTCACAATTCAAAAGAAATATCCGAAATTCTGCTTTCTTTGTTCTCAAACCAAAAGTATTACTTTTTGCGAGTGGCACTTGAAATGCAAGTATGAAGATAAACAAGTCCCTGGAATAAGCTTATTTTCGTGTATGGCATACGTGAAAAGGGACGAAATGGCTAACCAGCTGTCATTGTCATGTGGTCCTTCCTTCACAGGAGAAAAACACAGAATATTCCCTCAACATAAATCTGGATTATTTATTTAGTTTTTCGCCAAGAAGCGGCAAACCATTTGACGTTCTGCGTGTGGGACGACAGATATGACACTGCGTGTCATCGGAAACATTTGTTCTATGGTGATGTGGATTTATGGCCCATGTTGTACTCGTATGAAATTGGAAGAAAACGCGTTTTTTCTCCTATGTATCCGTTTTGCTTGAGTAGTAAAGCGGGCAGTTAGCTAGCTACCTTCCTACGAAGTTTGGTGCTCGCAGATGTAAACGCTTAACCCAAATCTCTGTTATCAGTGACACTTTGTCTCGTTTCGGTGCAGTCACATTTAGTGACATTTCACTTCAGTCTTTACCGTGAGCAAGCAGTTTTTGCTTGGCTGACAAAGCGCACATTGTTTCACCAGCACTGTGTTAAGTGCTAAAAAGTAACAACTTGATCATCAATCACAGTTCTAAACAACAATTCTATAAAAATAGGTGGCCGAACAAGAAACAGAAATAAGCGGTGCTATGTAAAAGATAAATCAAGTCTAATTAGAAGAGAAACACGTTAACGTAAACTTGAAATTAGGCAAAAAAATAATGCAGCCTGAGACTGAGGAAAATTTTGAATGAAACTTTACCGATTTCGAAAGCGATCAGACACAGAGGTCACTCTTCTTCAAAGAGATTAAATTTGCTAATTTTGCTATTTTCTTGCTGATCCATCTTCTACAGAAGAAAATAAATGCTCTTGAAGAAGAAAACCGAAATCGATTGATTTTTATTCAAAATCTACACCAATCTATTTTTGCATCTAAGAACCTTCTTATTTTTGCTTCAGGCATGTATGGTTTGTTTTGCTCTTGAAATCGATTTCAAACCGATGCCAATCTATTTTTGCTTAAGACGAAGAGAGCCCGTCACCCTCAAAATCAAGAGATTTTTTTCAAAATGCACGGCAATTGAAGGCTGTTTTACCACCTAATTTTAAACGCAGTTTATTTGTTCTATAAATTTCCAGGACAAGGGTTTCAAACTGGCAGCCCGCGGATCGAATGCGCCCCCCCGAAAAAAATATTATGCTTCTCGAGAATATTTCAATTATGTATTTGTTGCAAATACGGTGTAGCAAAGATTTCAAGTTTTAAGTTATTTGAAGCCCACGTTTATATTATTTTCATTACAACTAAAAACGAACGTGAATTTAAAAAAAAAAAAAAGACACGAAAGTAAAGAAGAAAATTTATAAATGGAACTAATTATTTTACATTGTAGCTTAAATCTTATTAAAAAATTTGAAGATACGGATTTGATTATCTTTTATCCGCCCTTGTCAAAAGATAAATGTTGTTGCGTTCTACGAGTTCGTAGATTTGGAGTGATTGATGACAACACTTAAAGAATCGAAGCACAATTTATTCGTCAGTATTACAGAGGGCAGTTCCAAAGCCGCGTTACGGTCGTCGAAAATATTCGTCTAAATATTCTCGAGAAAACCGGTAAAAATTCATTCTAGAATGTTCTTGCTCCGTCTATAACATATCGCGTATTTTGTTGCCAAACGCTGGCAAATGGACGAGTTCGCACCAAATCTGACAACCTTGCCTTTCTTGCATTTTTGGCAACCCTAAACTCACTTTCCGGGGAAGTGATTTCACCGCAGCTGGGCATTTTGTAACAATATGCTAAGTTACATTTTGCATTAAGAATAATCACTTTGTTTTCAAGTACATTTATACGTGAACATCGTTTTTTCACAATTGAAAACTGAAAAGAGAAGAACCTGATTAAATCAGCATTTACAATCCGTGAAGAAAATAATTTCTAGTAACTTTTCTCAAGGCTATCAGAATCGAAACGCTACCAAATGTCAAGCTGTAGTAAGAAATTAAGAAGTTTATAATTGTTTATATACGAGTGTATATATGTGATATTTTGGCAGCTGGGCATATCAGTGAATCTTGGCATTAAAATCCGGACATGGCTGAATGGCTGACAACAGAAATCATGACACCGAAAGCTTTCATTTGCTAAAACTCACTTAAAATGGCAGACCGTTATTCTTTCAAATTTTCTAAAACCTACATATCCAATAATGATTTAAATTAAAATAAGGTTAAGCTTTCGACGTCACAACTATTCTAACAAAGGAAAGAAGAAGCGACAGACCAGCACAATGTCTTATTGAGCGATGGCAGAGACCAGTTTCATGAGAAATGGCGCGAACGCTTCATTTATAGCAGCGGTTACATTAACATGCCAGAATGTTCTCGAAAGTACTAGTCTAGGGAAAGGATCTCGAAATTGCGGAAAGTTAATTAAATGTTGCCTGTTCGCGTAAAGCAAAGCCATCTATTTTATATATTTTACATATATATATATATATATATAAAGATATATATATATCTTTACGCGCCGAAAAAAATTTAATGAAAGAGACAAGGCTTTCGTTATTTATTTTCGTTTTTTCCCACAGTTTGAGTTTGGGGCCACTATTAAAATATTACTGTCAGGCAATGGCTGGGGAATATGTGAGTGTAAGGGATTTTGATTCTACAGAGACATAATTAATCCAAATGTAATACCAAATGTAATCCAAATGTAATAATGTGTAAAATAAATACATCTAATACAAATATTTTGCTAAAGAATTCTAAACGGCTACAGTATTGAAAAAGATCGAAAATCAAGAAAAAGAGAAAGTAGTCATTTATGTCGATTTCCTCATTCTACAACTTTAATGATGCGCATAAGAAAGGGGGGATGCATACCTAATGATAACCTAATTTTTATTTTCTCACAATTGATTTTGGTATTTCATAAACACACTCTATTTCTTTCACTTCTTTTTCCCAGCTTTCAGTATTTCCAATGCGATTTTAGAAGCTTTCTAAACGCAAGAATTGGCCTTCACTTCTTTTATATAGTTTCTCCGATATAAAAAGGGAATTTGAACAAGAACGTTGTCTCTCCAATGCAAAATAGACACGTGATTAGTAATATCTTATAAAATTATTAGTCCAAAGGGACAAATTGCCCAGAAGGACTATTAATTTCGTTTTAGCATTTTCCGTTTATTCACTATAAGCGTTGTTTCACTTTTCAAACTGTTGCCACCAAATTTAATCTCTCTCTATTATATTTCAAGCAATTAATTAATGAAGAAACTGCATAAATGTATCTATATTTCTCGCATTGTGATAAAACAACGGTAACTAGAACCTTCCAATTTTGAATAACGTAATCCTCCTGCGAATATGGGAAACGAAAGCCGAAATTTGGAATTTGTTTTATTACCGATTTCATATTTTGTAAACCTTCAACAAATTTTTAATTGCCAAACTCAAGGATTTCAAAGCGAGCAATGGCAACTTTGCACATAAAAAAACATTTTTATTTCCAGCGCGCGAGACTGTTTTAAAGAATCTAAGGATATGATCATTTTAAAACTATTTTGCGATACTGCTGTTGAACTTAACTTTATTGTTTAAGTGCGAAGACCATGATATTTAATAAATAAAGGTAACACACAAAATGTTAGAAAACGCCCCTTTGGGCGCATTTTAAAATCTGTAAACTTTCTGATTTTTTTTTTAATAATAGTGTAGTTTGATCCTGCATTTTTAGAGGCAATTTTTAAACATTTGGATGATTTATTGATAAAGTTCATGCATATGAATTATTATAAACATAATATAAGTTAACAAAATTTTATTAATATGTTGAAACAAAATATTATAAAAACGGCTATTTTTGCATACTTATTCATGGATTTAATATATATGAATTTTAGAACTTCTATTTAAAACATTCATACATGTAAGACGTTTCATACTAAATGGCTGACGCTCTATACATGATCTGCTGATATGTTTTAGCTAGCTCAAAACATTTTTGCGATCGATTTTCCAAAATTC